TTTTTAAAGTCTGTAGAAACCACCCACTGGCATTTGTATTAGTATTTATAAGGATTTTTTACTTCAACCCTATCCGCACGTCGTGTTTTACCATCTTATCCATACGACGGAAGGAACTCTGTGTCCCCACTTTCAAAGAGGAAATTTACTCGTTAATCCGATCCGTACGCTTTGCATAGCAGTCTGTGAAAATATTTTTTGGAGAAATACTGAAAGTTTCAAAGAGATCTTCGAACTAGAAGTATTCTATAATGTGAAGAATATGACCCCGGGATACAAATTGACCCCAGGGCGTATGAATAGGGTTAAATTATGTTTATGGCGTTTACAAATAACCCAAACTCGGTAGTAAATCTTGCATTAAGTCAACGGATTTTAATTATTTTGAATTTTTTTTTCACTTTTCATGAAAAGCACCAAAAGTAGACATTTTTGGAACACCTAACTCGTAAGCGGGAAAACCCTAAGACCGATGACACAAACAACAGAATGAGACATTCGGTGAATGTGGATCGCCTCCCCCCTTGTGCACTGGGGAAAAAAGATTATGTACGGCTTTGAATGAAATAAGATCTCTAGAAATCGTAAAAAAAAGAGAGAGAGAGAGAGGAAGGCGAGAGCAAAAGAACAGTCCAACGTCGTTAAAAGTCTAACAAATTTAATTTGTGCTCGTCGTAACATTTCCTCCTAAAAAGTCAGCCAGTCTACACTGGCTATTGACTTAGATGTATTCGGAAATGAGAGACAGAAACTTTGGTTGCAATATTGTTTCAATTTTGTAACTCCTTACAAACCGTGAATGCGTTGACTACTTTTCATACACATGAGCAAACAACAAATACTGAGAAATACAAAGGGCGAAGTTCTACAGAAAAGGACTGGGAGTTAAATTATATAACCGAAGAACGTTTCTTTTTATCCCTTCTGAGGCAATGAGCTACTTTGGTCCGATAGAAGAGTGCAGAGATCGAGATCAAAACACGTCAAAAGCAGTTTCTTAAACAAACAACATTGCATCTGACCTTTTGGACGAATTAACCTTTACTTTGCATTTTTTTTTTTTTAAAGGTTTTTCCAATGACATCGTAATCAGATCAGTGCACGGGATGAACTGGCGGTGTGTTTCAACAAGGGTAGCAATTATTAGTACCCTTGACTAATTAAGCATAAGGGGTTGCACCGAGAAAAAGTCAACTATGCATGGTCGATGGTAGATAAAAAGGTAAAAAAAACAACGTCAAAAAGAGCGAGGAAGCGTAAGAGAAAACCACCCCTACATCGTCACAACGCTAACTAATTTACTTTGTGACATTCTGAATTCTGCTCCGCAATTAATAATAACTCCTGACCTTTTAGCGCACCAGACTTGAAAATTAACGAAGACTACGTCCTTGTTTTAAATGCACGGGTATTAAATAGATCTTTTGCTCGACTTTGCTCATGATCACAAGAACCGTCTCCCTGCCTCCCTTCACTTCGCCAACTCCACATAGCGGGTGGCCCCAGCTTGAAACTCATCGGAGCCTTTTGAACTTGGTTTGTTTTGAGAAATTAGTAATGTTCTCTCCTCATCTGGCTCAGTTCTATCGGAAAGGGGCGATACATTTGAAATCAAATCTCTGATATAACCTTACAGTGTTTAGAGGAGCGCAAAACCTTATACAGTAACAATGACAATGATCTCAACTAGGAAAACTGAGAGTTTGTGACATGCATCAGCTCATTTCTTGTGTCAAGTGAAACATTTGCTTTTAAAAAAATAGACCTCGTATGTTGCTGTTCTGTGACTGCTTAACAACAGTGTACGACACAAACAAGCAACGCTTTAATAGAAGAATGCGCAGAGTAAGAAAACCTCAAAAAGTATTCGCAATGTTTCTCAGCCTTTGTGCATCTATTCAGAATTTTGTTAATGATTTTTTTTAAAATGTTATCTAAAAATGATGTTTATGTTATAGCACATTAAGTGCTTGTACTTACTTATAAATACAGCAATTCTTTTTACAGAATTAATAATATATGGCCTTTTCAGCACTTCGTTAAAATAATACACGGACACGACGAATGGTTTTCTAGCTGTACAAATTTTGATTGAGAGAATCAATACACTTGTTCAGATCATATAGAAGCGTCGTTCATCATTATCTGCAGTATTCTCAGCCAGAATACTGACTATACGCTACAACTAGACAATAGGACACACGTTTACGTGGTATGGTAATTCATAGTACAAGAGCATGTTTTCTAGAATTATTACGGATAATTTCATTTCCATTAAATATAAAAATTAATAAATAAAAAATAAACAAAAAATAGATAGTTATATACGAACGATAGATATTTGATTGGATAGCAGCAAACCACCAAACACACCAACCATGGTTCCCAACAACCAACCACGTTTAAAAGAGAGTGGAGGGCAGGGCAGTATTCTGCAAAGCACAAAAATCTTCTCTAGATCAGCTCACAATCGCAAAAATTGTGGGGATGGAGAATGTTGGTGATGTTCGGTTATTGGTTTGGGAGCGAAAAACGAGATTTCCAAACAAAGTCATCTAAGATCGATAATCAAAATCACTCAATCTCAAAATCAAAATGTTATAACTTTATATGTGAGGCAGCGTGGTGGAATCGGGCTCTCGTCAAAATAATGAAAGTGAAAAAACTTGCATTTTTCCGCAGGTTTGTGAATTTTAATCAAATTTTTGTTTTTTGGCTCAACACCTTTCATGTCAATTAAAGAATTTATTTCTGTATGGATTTTCTGAAAAACGTTGATTAAAGGCACAAAAAAATGTAAATTTTCAGTTACCACAGGCTTTTAAGCTAAGGAAATAACCAACCTTAGGCGGCCATTTTCTCACAAATTTTACCTCTGAAAACAGATAACCCCCACCTCCTTCAATTGCAAATATCTCGACTTGTATTCAAGATAAAGGGATACTTTTTTCATCCAAATAAAGACAGGTGAGCGAGCTTTAAGATGATACCAATAACTCTACATGCCCAAAAGTTAACGAGAGCCTGATTCCACCACGCTGCCTCACATAAGAAGATTCATAAAACAGAAGTTGTGCTCTTTTTACACATAAACTTATCCCAGATCTCAAGTCTCGGTTTTCTTGAATTTGGCTGTCAGGGCCAACCCAGGGTGAAACAGATACAACGGACTGGCCCAAAGACGCAGATACTCATTATAAATAAATCATTATCTCTACACGGGAAACGACCTCACGTCTTCTGCACGCCACTCTGCAGTGCCTCACTGCTACACTACAGACTCCGGTATCAAGGTTTTTGAAAGGGAAGAAATCAGGAAAAAGAAATTAACACAAGCGTCTCTTTCATAATCTACGAGGCTCAAGCAAAGATAATTATAATGTCCATTTTTCTCAAACGAGATTTCAGCAACATCTACAACGTTTTTTTGGTTAAAACTAATTAAATAGCATAGATGTAACACCCTTATCAACTAAAGTATTGTGTATCCAATGTTAAAACATTAAAACAAATGCGAATGACAAAAAAGCATTGGGGCAAATCAGATGCCTACTGCATAATGAATCATAGATTTGTCTGTTTTAAAACGGGCTAAAAACTAACTGCCTCTGTTTTTACTTTTGTTTTGTTTTTATTATTTTTTATCTTCTTTTTTTTTTCTCTAAATGGTGATAACACCCTGGCTTTTTTTATGTGCTGAAATCTTTATTTTCACGTCCTCAAGGATATTTAACAACTTTTCAAAAAATAAAATCAGCTAAGAAAATTTAGTAAACTAAAAGTTATCAAATCATATTAGATATGAAGCAGGGTAAGATAAAATTTTATGTAAGTCACCGTTAAGATCATCAAATGTAATTAGGTCTGATTTTATACTTTGAGACATGCCTGAATAAGCGGTCCTAAGTGTAATATACACGAGATACAAGATGTTATGTTATCTTAAAACCATAGACCAGGTCTTGCTTTTGGTTTTAGCTCTCAGTCAAATTTTTCAGAACATTAATAGCAATACCCAAATATTCCTTAACTTTTTGCCACCCTAGAAATACTAAGTTCTATCTGCTCAGTACCTAGTTTTTGGAAATTTGACTTTAAAAGAGTTGAGTTTTACAACATCAAGTTTTTTATTATTTTGACAAGGGCTCCTAATAATCGTATTATTTTGATAGAGCAGGTGGAACATTGGTTTCTGACCTCATGGTCTTAGTAACTCAAAACAGCCAAAAATGTCGGATAGAAATGAGTAATTCTGAGTAAGCATTGTAGCACCGCATTAACGGAGAGTTTATCTCGATTTCAAGTCTCTCACTCAAAAAGAAGCTTCTCCTTTTTCTTGTAAACTTTAGCTCATTGAGAACTTGCTCTTTTGGAGAAACTTAAAAAAAAGAGATATTACCTTGTTATGTGCACATTTTTCCTTTCTTTTTTTTGTCTGAAACTTTAATGAGGCAGGCAAAAATATGCATACCATGAAGTATTGTGCAATTTTATGTCTTTGATTTGTGTTCGAAATGTGCTGCAAAATTTCCTTTGGTCTGGTGTTGGTTGGACTTGTACGTCATCTTCCTCCTTAAAGAGAAAATAGAGAAAAGATATGAGAAAAGTAAAGCTGGTAGGTCTTAAACAAAAATATTAAAAACAGCAACCATAAAAATCAGCTACAGCACGAGAGAGAACAAGTTAGATTGTTTGTTTTTCGGGTTCTTTTTGGTGACTGTTTTTAATCTTTTCTCGTGAAGAAGTTGAAGCAGCAGTTAAAGCACCGACGAAAGGAAAATCAGGAGGAGTGGATAACATCCCAAGAGAATTAATACAGGCAGGGGGAAAGGACATGATAAGCGCTCTGACTGTCCTCTGCAACAAGATCTGGCAGACAGGAAAGTGGCCAACCCTATGGTTAAAATCACTAGTGATTACACTCCCCAAGAAAGGTAACCTGCAACTATGTCAGAACTACCGCACCATGAGTCTAATAAGCCACCCCAGTTATGTTGAAGATGATGCTGAACAGATTGAAACCACAGGCAGAGAAGATCATTGCCGAAGAGCAGGCAGGCTTTAGAGCAGGGCGCAGCACAACAGAACAGATCTTCAACCTCAGGATACTGTGTGAGAGGTACCTCCACACCAAAAAAACCTATACAATATCTTCGTGAATTTTAAAAAGGCCATCGACAGGATCTGGCATGCAGCCTAATGGGCAACCATGAGGAAATAAAACATATACGCCAACCTGATCAACGTCATACACCAACTATATTACAAGGCCTCCAGCGCAGCGTGGGGGCTTGGTTCAGGACAACGGTCGGGGTGAGGCAAGGTTGTTTGCTTTCTCCCACTCTCTTCAACATTTTCATTGAATGAATCATGACTGACACTCTGGAAGACCACAATGGAACAATCAGTATTGGAGGCAGGACAATCACAAACTTTCGTTTTGCCGATGACATCGATGGATTAGCAGGAGAAGAACAGGAGTTCGCCACACTAGTGGAGCGGCTGGACACAACCTCAGCAGCCTACGGCATGGAGATCAGTGACGAGAAAACCAAGCTAATGACCAATAACACATGATGGCACCAACGCGAGCATCAAAGTCAGAGGCGCGAAACTTGAGACCGTCAACATCTTCAAATACCTTTGATCAGTCGTCTCAGATGAAGGCTCAAGACCAGAAATTCTCTCCAGAATCGCGCAAACAACAGTTGAGCTGTCAAAACTGAAGCCTATTTGGAGGGACAGAAACAGCACGTACAACTAAGAAATCAGACTAATGCGCTCACTGGTCATCTCAATATTTTTATACTCCTGCAAGTCGTGGACACTGACAGCAGAATTAAAGAAAAAGATTCAGACAACAGAGGTGAGATATTACCACTGACTCCTTGACATCTCATACAAAGACCACGTTTCAAATACTGAAGTACGAAAGAGAATCACCAACGTAATGGGGCAGCATGAAGATCTACTGACTACAGTGAAGAGTGGAACATTAAAATGGTATGGGCATGTCACAAGATCCACAGGACTTTCCAAAACAATCCTGCAAGGAACCGTACAAGGAAAGAGAAAGAGAGGAAGGTAGAGAAGGAGATGGGAGGACAACATTGCAGAGAGGACAGGAAAGACGATGGGTGACAATCTGAGGAAAGCAGAGGACAAAAATAGATGACGAGAGCTGGTTTTCAGATGCAGTGGTGCCCCCACAGTTGCCCCAACCACGGGATAGAAAAAGAAGAAGAAGAAGTATTTAATCTTTTCTCTGCACAGTATCCTTTTTTCGTCTATATTGCTGATTATTGATCATTTTATTTATTTTGTGACTATCAAGATTGGTTTTTTTTTAGTACAGTTTCCAATTTTCTCCCGTGTTTCTTGTGGGTTTCGGAACTGCTGTCCTTCAGTATATTTCGTTTATATAAAAATAGCATGGTAACGTTATCAAATATGTATAAAATGTATATACCCTGTTGAAGAGTGCTCAGTCATGCACAGTGTACCAAAGTCATACCAAGACCCACACAGAATGTCTCTGAAGAATTCTTGGTCCCAAATTATAGCAGGACAAAATACAACAGTTCTCAAAAAGCCAAACGCCGAGAGATTGGTTTCTAAATTCAAAAGGACTCAATCAATTTCGCTGAGATTGCCATGCTATCAAAATGTTTGATTTCAGAATCACAAAGGCATTGGTTTCTTTTGAGTTGTCCTTAGGAAGCATAGAGTTGGTGCGACAACAAAAAAAGCGCTACAGAATACTTCGAAAATGTCGCTGAAGAATTTCTTGACCTCATGGTCTTAGTAACTCAAAACGACGATAACTGTAAAATAGAACTTTACAATTCTAAGGTAGCTCAATGCTCAAAATATGAGAAACATTCAGTCATATTGCTTGTTTATTTAGTGGGCCTCAGGCTAAGCCATAAGACTTTTAGTCATTTTAACTCTTATTTTTTCCTTTATTTTAAGAATATTGCATGTTAGTCATCTAGCTCATCGTCAGGTACTGACGGAGGAACTTATTATTATTATTATTATTATTATTATTATTATTATTATTATTAATATTATTATTATTATTATTATTATCATCATTATCAATATTATTATTATTATTATTAATATTATTATTAATATTATTATTATTATTATTATTACTATTGTTATTATTATTACTATTTTTGTTATTATTATTATTATTGTAGTTATATTATCATTATTGCCGATTGTGGTGTTGTTGTTGTTGTTGCTGCTGTTTCTGCTGCTGCTGTTGTGGTGGTGTTGTTGTTGTTGCTGCTGTTGCTGCTGCTGCTGCTGTTGTTGTTGCTGTTGTTGTTGCGGTGGTGGTCGTCTTGTTATCTATTAAAATATGTCTATAGGTATAGACATATCATATGAAATGTTCTCACGTTCTTTCGCTTCTTCCTATAAAATAGGCGTGACTGTGAGACTTCACTTTTGTGGAACCAGCAGCTTAAGATATCAGAAATGTCTTCGATAGACTACAGCCACACTCCATTGTTTGAACAAGACAAGGAACCTATGATAGACGAGGGTGTCTTCAACGTTTTAAACATCGTTATCTATGTCGTTGCCCTAGGAATAATCTGCTTATTTGGCATTATATTCAACGCGATCAACATTTACGTGTTTTTCAAGCAAGGATTCAAAGACACCGTCAACATCACTCCTTTCAGTCTGGCTGTTTCCGATATGGGAAATGTAGTAACGCTCCTGTGGATGAGTGTCTGCTTCAACCCTTTGTTCGCCCAATCTATTCTGCCTGTGGTTTATCATGACCTGGCCTATATAACATCTGGGTGGCCTCACACTATTTTCGCGCGGATCTCCAGCCTGATCACAGCCTTCGTCACATTTGAGAGGTGTCTGTGTATCGCTCTGCCCCTCAAAGTGAAGACAATCATAACACCGAGACGTACTATTTACGTAATTGTTAGCATATACATAGGTTTGGCTGTTTGCGCTGCTCCTGCGTTCTACTCTGTCAGTCTGGGGCCAAAACATGATTCAGAAGTAAACATGACCATGTTAGGAGTAGTTTATATCCCCAACGGCGTTTTTATTGAGGGTATATCTCTTTACATCAGCGCTTTCTCACAGGTTGTTTCATTCTTCTCAGTAATCGTGTGTACGGTAATCCTTGTCCAAAACCTTCTGATCAAATCAAGATGGCGCAAGTCGAGTTCCAGCACCGCAAAGCAGGAATCTGTATCGAATAGAGACATGAAAGTTGTGAAAATGGTTGTGTCTATTGCCGGTATCTTCATAGTTGGTTTCTCTCCCAGTGTTGCCAACATCTTTACGATGTTGGCCATCCCAGATTTCAACTATTACGGGGAATACCATCATATCTATGTGATCGTATGGGGTATAAGTTTTCTACTGGTAACGACAAATTCAGCGGTGAATATATTTGTGTATTACTACATGAGTTCGAAATTTAAAGAAATTCTCGACGACACGCTCAAAAAAGTGAGAGGGAAATGTTGTGTGTGAGGTACATTGACGCTCGCTGTGTTACGCACCCCCTATTAGCTACTTGGACTCTTATACTAAGAATCTCGGCGAGAGAGAAATCCATGGTATTATAGATAAATCAACAACATCAACAGCAGCGACAACAGCAGCGACAACAGCAGCGACAACAGCAGCGACAACAGTAGCGACAACAGCAGCGACAACAGTAGTTATAAACTTCAACAGAAGTAAAAACATCGACAGAAGTAAAACAACAACATCAGTTAAAAACAAAATCACAAGTTTTAAAACAACAACATTGGATAAAAACAAGGACATCAGTTGGAAATAACAACACCTGATAAAAACAAAAACATAAGTTAAAAACAAAAACACAAGTTAAAAACAAGAACAATGATGGCAAAATGACCATGACAATCGTTATTCATCATCTCGCAAGGAGAAATTTGTCTTTGTCGTCAACAATAGCAGTAGACATTACAAAGATTAGATGAACTCACGCATACGCACAACAAGACAGGACATTAGTTAATATAATATGTCTCACGTGCTGGAACAACCCGCTCCGTAAAACAATCTCTCTCTCTCTCCCTCTCTCTCTCTCTCTCTCTCTCTCTCTCTCTCTCTCTCTCTCTCTCTCTCCCCGTTTCATATGTAGCTCTGTGTGTTCAATAACCTTACTGCTGTTGGAACGTATGGATTTCTATATCTGTCTATTCTTGCTTGTTTTGAAATGTATCGTTTATTTCCGGTCGATAGTTATTAGAATTTCGATATCAGTGGGTGGCTTGGTCATTTAACATTATCTCTGCCTTTTTTAGAATGTTTGTCTTGTGCAGATATTCACAGTTACTTTGGTCTCTACCAATTGTTCTTAATGCCTTTCTGATCAACTTGTTTATTTTTATGGTGTGCTGCCTTCCCAAATTGCTACCACAGCAAGTGATACCTAAAATTATCAAAGTTTCTATTGTGGTGGTGAAGAATATCTGAAGGATGGATGGATTCAGATTGAAAGACCTAAATTTCCTCAGAAAGTACAGCCTCTGATTTACCTTTTTAACGATATTGTTTACGTGATTTTCCATGTAAATGTGTTGTTGATTGTAAGACCAATATTCTTGTACGAATCCGTAGTTTCAATTGTTTCTAGTTCAATTACGAGTCGTGGGATAGTTTGTTTTTCTCTCCTAAAATTAAAAAAAAATCATTTCCTTTGTTTTTGAGATGTTCACCTTTAGAAAATTTGAATTGCACCATTTAATAAAGATACATATTTCTTCGAAATACTCTTTTTCATCAAAGTTGATTAATCCAATAATAGCGGAGTCATCTGCAAACTTAATCAAGCGTGTTGTTTTGTATTTACTTCTATGATCGTTGGTGTATATTGTATACAAACCTGGAGACAAAACACAGCCCCGAGGACCAAAGGTGTTACAAAGGATTGCGTCAGGTTTTGTGTTGCTCAGCTTAACATAGTCTGCCTGTTAAAAATTCCAGGACTCATGCTGCAATATGATGAATAACTCCCAGATTCAGAAGTTTTTCAATAACAATATGCGGTTCAGTATAGAGTTTCAAAAAACAAGTTCAGCATCTTCTACGTTCCTCTATTGTATTATGCAAATTAGAATGGATGTAGATTTCCATGAACACAACCAAGAATATTTGAGAGGATCAATTTTTCAAGGCACGTAGTTGAAAGCAATGACTGGCCTTAAATCATTTAATTCATATTTTTTAGGCTTTTTAGGTATTAGTATTACCTCCGGTGTTTTCCATATTGTAGGAATGAAGATTTGATTTTTTCGTTGTGTCAGGTTAAAATTGAAGGTAAATATCGGGGTCAGTTGCTAACAACTAGTTCTTAACACTTTCCCTTTCACTCGGTCTAGACCACAAGCTTTGTTTATGTTTGCACTTTGGTATTTCTTTTTAACCCTCCGCTCATTGAGTTCAACACACTTCTCCTTGCTCAACTAGTCTCTCAGAATCTGCTTAAGTTTACGTTGTCCTTTCTCAAAATCAAAACAATCGAAACGACAATAAAAGTTGTTTAACTCATTTATACATTCTCTTTCATTTTTTTTTACTTGCGCACATGTTAAAAACAAAAATACAAGGTAAAAACAACAACATCAGGTAAAAACAAAAATACAAGGTAAAAACAACAACATCAGGTAAAAACAAAAATACAAGGTAAAAACAACAACATCAGGTAAAAAAAAAAATACAAGGTAAAAACAAAAAAAATCCCACAAGTTAATTAAAAACAACAACAGAAGTAAAACAACAACAGCAACAAAAGCAGCAGCAACAACACACACCCAATTTGAAAGTACTTTTGATACATAGTCTGGCTTCCAGACAACTGACTAAAGCTGTGGCGACCTTTTTTTAATAGGGATGGGGGTTCCCTTGTCATCTAAATAGTAAAACATTGTGTTTGTGATGTGTTAGCTGCCACATTATAGTCAACACAAAGTTATGAGAAGATACGCGTAAGCCTTGTAAACTGTAGACTGTGCATTGTTATTTTTTACAATTTAATGATTATGATTTACTTTATTGCTGGGCGTTGTTAATTAAAATTCAGGTGTTTGGCGCTTGTTGGTGTTTTATAGGCGTCAGCTTTGGAAATAATGTTTTGGCTTCAATTCTTTCGATGTGGATGTTCTTGCAAGAGGTGGGATAACATTAAAAGTTGATGTTCTAGGACATCTCTTTGAACTGTATATCATAATGATGTTATGTATATGTCCATTTTGTGCCTGAGTCAAGTGTGTGCGCGTATGTGTGTGTGTGTGTGTGTGTGTGTGTGTGTTTATGTGTGTGTGTGTGTGTGTGCCCTTGTGCATACACGTCTCGTATATACACATCTTTGTATGTGTGTGTACATGTGTGTGTGTGTGTGTGCGTGTGTGTGTGTGTGTGTGTGTGTGTGTGTGTGTGTGTGCTTGAGTATGTGTATGTGCTTGTGTGTATACATGTGTGCCCTGTGTGCCATTTTGCTAGTTAAAGATCCCCTGGTGGTCCAAAGTCAATAAGAATAGGCTTTGGCGCCACCCTGGCAAAATTTCAAAATTTCCTACCAATTGAAAGTGTGTTATGTGTCCTGCGCGCTCATATTATGACCTTGTGCAGTTGTGAGCGCCGTGAAACATTTACCATAAAAAAAAGAAAATTCAAAGGCGCAGCTCAACAGATTGTGAACTAACTAACTCTGCTCTACGTTCACTTCACTCAAGTTCACGGTCGCAGAGTCGGGGCAAGACCTAAAATATTTTTTTAAATAGTGGTAAGACAATGAACAAATCACAAACCACCTGAGCACTCCGCTGGATTGCTCCGTGGCTCACATTTTATGGACAGGTTGCGTTGAGTCTGAGCAAAGATTCTTCACTAGTGTCGTCTTATTAATAGTAATGTACCGCCAAACTCGCTACGAGTGTCTTTATCGCTTGGGTTAACCCAACAAGCGATTTATAGGTCAGACTATCACTGCTGAACGACATATTATGCTCACTCATGACCCGATATTCTCTCCCCCACCCCCGTGTGGGCATGAGGCGAGGACTCACCCCTGACCTCTCACAGACCGATGGAATCACTTTGGCCCCTGGTGGCTTACCGCAGGTGGTTGGGAAATGACTCATGAGTGCTTGGCGCTTGTTTCCTCATGTAGGCCAACTACTGATTACTGTTGCCATAGTCTTGTTGTTTTTTGTTTTTTTTTAAACCAAATAGCTTTCTTAAAATTAGGTTATAATAATGAATATGGGTAGGTATCAGAAAACGTGTTATGCTCTTGACATTTCGTTCTTGCATAACCAGTGTAGCTGGTTTGTTTTTCGGGGGGGGGGGTGTTCACGTTTGTTTGATGTTGATGGTGTGACATGGCCTCCACGCAAGCCCATAAAAAAATCAAGCCTGAAACTTAGTGCAAATGAAAATTCTCTAAAAGGGGAAACACGTTGTCAAGCTGGAACGCCATTTGGAGGAAAAGGACGGTTTCCTCACGACAAACATAGTGGGGGGAGAATAGCGAGACATAGGCTGTTCTCTCCGCTGGTAAAGAAAACCACTTCCGTTATGTTTAGTTAAAGTGCGTGGACTTTGGCATGACTAAGTTGATGTTTTACGGCGCTATAGGCACAGTAACGGCTGTTACGGCGCCAGCAAGGACCTTGTGTTGATAAATGATTTGGCTAGTGCTTGTTTCTGGCTTCTTTTGATTTCTGTTTGTGAGTGCTTTACAGAATAGAACATTTTTAAAATTTTGGGCGGCACTGCACAACCGTGCTATGTGGATGAACCGTCCCTGTGTATATATATATCTGTGTGTGCATGTGTATAACATTATGTCTCTTATAAGCACGTGGGTGTATGGTTGTGTGTATGTGCGTCCAAATTTACATTGTTTGTGACTTTGATCGTCGTGTTTCGAAAAAAATCAACACAGAAATGTTTTTTTTTTATCCTGCCCAATTTTATCATCTGGGGCTTTTGTGTTTAGTAATAACAACAACCTGTGCAGCATTTTGGATTTGGAAATTAGCCGTTAGTCTTTGAGTAAACACACAGGGGAGGGTTTTACATATATGCAAATAAATGGATAAATAAATACATAAATATGAAACTTCACTCCTGTAACGTTTATTGGTCTATTATTTTTTAGCGAGTAGTTCAACAGCAAGAATGAACAATTGTGGAAAAATTGGGCAACCCTGCCTTACTCCACTAGTCATCTGGAACGTATCCGATACATGACCCCCGTTCTTAACGCACGTTACCCTTAAGTATTTACAATTTTATCCATTTTATGAAGTTTGAACCAAATCCAAATTTTCTTTAACGTTTCTAAAATATAGGGGATTCTAATCAAATCGAAAGCTTGTTTAAAATCAACGAGTAATAATAGTCCGGATCAATTGTTGATTCTCTGATATTGTAATCTATCATCTATTTCCTATGTATTGTTGCGATATTCCCCCCTTTCATAAAACCGACATGGC